GACGTTGCTATACTCAGCTCGACGAGCTCTATCGATTGGCTAACTCAGATTTTAATTTGGGGGTGTTCGTGGGTGTTCGTGGCTGTTCGTAGCTGTTCGTGGGTGTTCGCGTCTTTTAGCAATACCCTGTTAACACTGTTGAAATATGTGCCTCCTATAAATTTTGACTGAATTTTATTCAACTTCAAGGTTTTATTCAAAGATGATCTCTTCCAATCTTATTGACAAGATATAAGGAAAAAGAACGTAACGGTGAAGTAAGGGTACGCCCCCCCTCTTCTTTCATCTTATTGCCAAGGAGCACACGTCCGATCGAGTTCAAATTTATACCAGAAATAGAAGAGCGAAAAAGAAAATCGAAAAATATGCTTTCTTTCTCGAGATACACGACAAATGCTGAAAACCAAACAAAAAAGTCAGTTTTTTCAAGTTTTTCTGTGTGATTTTAAAAAGATTCTGTGTAGTAAAAGAAAAATTTTCATTCTGAGATAGGGTTTGGAATATCTGTGGTAAAAGTTTCTACTCGATTGGACCATTTTTTCGAGGAGTCATAACGTGACTGGATGAAAAATGTAGTTTTCCATAAAGAATCAGACGGAAATTGTTCTGCAATTTTCGAAATACATTAAAGTAGTAAAACTGCGTAGTTTTTGAAAGTTTTACGGTTTTCGAGCTATTTCTGAAAAATAAGTCTTTTTAAATTCCATTCGAAAATGACTTTTAAAAAGCTTAAATTGAGTTTTGTATATTAACTCGATATTCTCTTTCCAATCATGTGAAAAGAACTGTGCTGTCATTTTGCGTTATGGCCCCCTTAGATCGCTTTTGTCGTGGCATAATGTGACATTCCATGGTACAGGTTCAAAATTACGTTTCAGTGTTGACTCATGTCATCGTCCGTAGAGTTTATAACGAAAGATTCTTTCGTAGATTTTGTACGGTTCATTTTCACAAATGCATTGAACCACGTAAGAAAGAATAAAGAAAGAAATGGAAATTTTTCAAGTTCTAATTTGATACTCAGGATTATAATAGTATAGACTTTCTTATAGCCGAGGCACTTGTTAAACAATTATTAAAGATCATGATAAAATTTATTAATTTTCAACGTTTTTCAATTATGTTCAATGCCATAGAAACAGAGCAATGAACCCAAACGCTTTTCTTCGATATCGTTAATGACTGGCCTCATTAAATCATTATTCTGCCATAATAAAAGAATATATTTTTTCAAAAACATACCATTTGATAGCTCTTGAAATTCTCTACAAAGTGAGCTGGTCAGAATATCTAGACAACTGAGACCAGTCATTAACGATAGCGAAGTGAAACACTTGAGTGTTATCTATGCAGTACAGTGTGTCATAATCACAAGAACTTCTTTGTTTTTTACTTTCCGGTAAAAGCTGACCAAAATAAGGCATCTCACCTCAGCAAAAATACCAAAACATTCCTGTGACAAAGCCATATAGACAGCCGGGAGATGTCTTATTTTTCTCAGAACTTCTTGCTATCAGGCTGTATGGTTTGCAAAATTTTCTGACCAAAAACGAAGGACTTACTTTTCCAGAAATCTTATTATCAGCATTTCTCATGAAACAGCGGTATGCACCTCATCTGATAGAAAAATCTTTGGGCTATGCACAACAGTATTCAGATTGGTTTCAGCTTTTACCGAAAAATAAAAAACAGAGAAGTTCTTGTGATTATGACACACTGTACTGCATAGATACACCCAAACGCTTCTCTTCGATATCGTTAATGCCTGGCCTCACCTGTCTAATTCTGATCAGCTCACCTTGTAGAGAATTTCAAGCGCTATCCAATGGTACTTTTTGAAAAATATATATGTTTTCATTATGAAAAATGAAAAGTAATTCATTTTTCAAAGACACCAGAAGAAATTTTTGAAAGTGGGAAGCGAAAAGGGAAGCATTTCCGATCGTTTTCATTCAAAATCATACTGGGCCATTTTCTAGCAGAAACCGTTTCCCGTCCTTTCTTAAGATATTGTTCAGGCGATTTAACAAAAGCATTTTTCAGTTTGACAATCTGTTCGCAATAGTTGGAGAATCTGTTTTTCGATAGATGGAAATCATAAATTAATTGAGCGCTTCTTTTCCTTGTTGAATAGGTTGTTTACTCTAAGTAATCAGAGGTTTACAGAGAGTCCTGACTATTTTGTCAGGAAACATGTTTGAGACATCAAACTATATTTACTTGGTGAAAAATTATAGTAGATATTTTTGCGTGTTCTAAAATGTTCTTTTTTTTAGCGAACAGCGCAAACAAAATTCGTAGTCAAAATTCAATAATTCTATCATGATGAATTACGATTCCACAGAAGGCTTCAGCATTCCATCACATTTAACAAATCTAATGCCAACATATAAAACTAAACTTTATCATGTTTCTCCACCACTAGCTTTTATTACATTAAATCGATCCGAAAAATTGAATACGATTTTACCTCCAGTGCCAATAGAATTGGAACATGCAATAAATCAAGCAAATCATGATAATTCAGTGAGAGTTTTTATATTACGTGGTAGTGGTACTTCTTTTTGCGCAGGATTTGATTTTAGCGGCGATTTAGTCAATTTTCCTTCGAACTTGGGTAATTCAATGCAGAATTAGAATCCAGGGGCTGATGCCGTTCTAAAAAAGTACGGCCGATCATTATTTTTTGAATAACTCGAAGGGAACACAAGATCAAAACTTACGTTTTTCACCATTCGATGCCAAGACTTGAAGCTATCTTTCCATCAGCAAAAACGGATTTCGGAAAAATTTTCGAAGTCGGTTTTTCAGAGGATCTTTGGAAAACCAGTTCGGTTCTCTGAAAACTGATGTATAAACCTATGAGTTTTCTTCATAGATATATAGCCTGAAGTGTCCTCTACAAAACTTGATCCAAGCGACATCTTGAAAATTTATGGTTCGGAAGCTATGGACGTTTTTCCTGAAGCCTTAGCACTCCTCTGCCGTTAGGTTTGGGACTGTCAAAAATGAATGAAAACATAGGTTATCGACTATGCTGAATCTCGTGGCAATGTTAGTTTTTAGAACAAAATGCAACAACCGAGTGAAAACCTACTGGATGTCCTATAAGTCACTGAACGATTTGATGGCGAATAATTTTTGATAGGAGCAAGATAGAGACCTACGGTTCACAAAAGTCAGCATTGTCGATTACTCATAGTCCATCAGTCTTTCAGGCTATCAATAGTCACCGGGTGCCAGTTCTGGAAGGTTTATACATCAGTTTTCAGAACCGAACTGGTTTTCCAAAGATCCTCTGAAAAATCGGCTTCGAAAATTTTTCCGAAATCCGTTTTTGCTGATGGAAAGACAGCTTCAAGTCTTGGCCATCGAATGATGAAAAACGTAAGTCTTGATCTTGTGTTTCCTTCGAGTTATTCAAAAAATAATGACCAGCCGTGCTTTTTTAGAACGGATAGTAGCTACGTTAAAGAAAAAGCTGAATTTTAAGAGAACAAAGAGACTGGCAGTCGGGAAACTTTTTTTCCTTAATCACCAATGTCGCCATTATATAACCTAATAGTGGAAAAAAGATCTCATTCAAGATTTTTTTTTTCGAAATTTTCACTCACACCGTTCATGCAAAACGCACATATCTGCGTGTTACTTGAATGAGAAAAAAACGTTTATCATACAAGAAAAATTTTCGTTTGGTATTCAAGGAAGTATATAACACGTATCGACCTATATGTGATACGTTCGACAAAACATGTGAGAAGAGAAAAAATACAGTTTTGTTTTCCAGCGAAGACACGCGCATATATAAAAGATACGAAAAATGCAATAAGCTGAATGATAACTTTAGAGTAAGTACACAGCATTGAAAGAAATTTGCTCTTCATGTACTTATTTAGAGATCAATCTCTAGAATTTGAATCTGAAATGATTGCACCATGTTCCCGAAGAGAAAGCCGGGTAAAACATATGTAGTTTTACGTGCTCTGCCTAATGAGACTAAAATTCGATCTTAGAATTTGGTAATTAAGCCGAAAAGCGAGTTTTTGTCTTAATTAAGTTTTTATTGAAACGCGTATATTTCTGACAATACGCGTTTCCGAAATGTAAACCATTCAAATTGGGATAGAGCTTAAAATTTGATGTATTACTGGTAGATTATCAGTATGTGATTGAGAGACACCTTTTCTCACTCAAATCACAAAATGTAAAAATCGACTAAATGTTCCTTACATCGATGTCACAATAGGACTATCATATAGCAAATAAGGAGATATCTCCTTATTTGCTATATGTAGTCATCATCATGATGACTACCACATCTAACTTTACGGGTCCAATTCCTAAATTTATGTCTATTTGGTATTCTTCTGAACCTGTTATTGTTCAAATTAATGGCTATTGTGTAGGTGATGGTAGCGATATGGCATTATGTGCCGATATTATTATGCGACTGGTGATCCTCTTATTGGAACTCCTTATAGTAGAGTATGGGGTACTTATTTAATAGGAATGTGGATTTATCGTTTAGGATTAACAAAATATAAAGAATTAGCCTTATCTGGCGATGCTCTCACGGGATAAAAGCAGCCGAAATTAATTTAATTAATAAATCTGTACCGTTTGATGAGTTAGAGGCTGAAGTAATGAAGACAGCTGAAAAATTAGCTCAAATTCCAGTAATTCAATTAGCTACTATGAAGTTACTAGTAGTTAGGAATTAGCTCATGAGTATTGTTCATCTGATATTTTCATATAGAGGAATGATCTCAGACAGCCGGAGTAGGACTACAAGTCTAGTCATAGACGAGTCCATCCCTGACTATATACAGGGAGACTACCAAATAATAATATAAATATTCTATGTTTCTTCACTAAATTCTACGTTCTTCATACAGTATCAGTTTAGCAAAATAAAACGGTGAATGAATATTTTCTGAGTACTCACATGAGTAACTGATACTGAGTAACAATACTCAAAAATTGTTAGTAGTACTAATATGAGTACTAATGGACGAATTATGGCTAAAGTCGTACTCATCGTATGAGTAGTTTCTCTAGGGAAGCTGCATGCTATATTTTTAATGATAAAAAAACTTTAATGATCAAATAATAGAATATAGATTAACCTCGTTCTTCAAAAATCATGCACAAAAACATCTCTATCACATTCCTGCCTTTTTTCGTGCACTTTTCTGTAACCATGCACAAAAATATCAAGATTTTTCAGTGCACGGAAAATAGAAAACCGTGCACAAAAAACATTATTAGTAATCTTAACTTCTGTTTCTTCAGATAGAACCGCTAAATTAAGTTTAGCAGACAAATTTTTAGAAATTCTTATTTTATTCTTTATCGACATCCGATGACGCATATGATCTCTTAGTATCGAACATTGTAACTTATAGTTGTATTCTTAGAATCGCACGAATCATAAACTTCATTAACATATTATTATGTCTGTAAAATCGGTAGTAAATAACAAGGGTCATTATAACTTACGTAGACAAAATATAGGTTCACAATCAACAAAACTTAATGCAGATGAAATGAAAGACGCCATATTAAATAGTTTAAAAACTGATGAGGCATTACGTAAATCAATTCATAATATGATAATATCATATCATAATGATGATCAGAGTCCCTGCTGATTTACTAGTGACTCTCTTGGGATTTCTTCGTGAGCTTTAGTTTAAAATTGAGCACAGGAGTCAAATTCAGCACTTTTTCGTTTTTGGGAACTCCTCAAGCAATCCGTAGGGAATACCTTTAAACTCCCTAGAGAAACCAAGGTAATTCCCCGGGGATTTTTTCCAGGGAGAGTGGACTAGGGTTATACTAAACTTTAATAGGTTAACTGAAGTATGTGAGTTGGTTCTTTTAGAAATTCACATTGTACTTTCCTATACATTCTAAAGGTTCAAGTGATGTGATATTCGACAGATACGTCATAACGTAATTTAATAAATTATATTTTTTTAAGGTATTTAAGCCTATAGAAAAGCGCATCGGTATAATATAAAGTTTCACTAACTTAGTCGTCTAATTTACTAAGTTTGAAGGCTAAGGCAAATGAGTGTTTTTGTACAGTATCGGGTAGCCGACGTTGCAAAAATGAGAGAAGCTGAATCTATCTATAATCGGATACTTTTTAGAATAGTCACTAACACCGCCCCTATAGCTCAGTGGTAGAGCGCCAGTCTTGTAAACTGGAGGTCCGTAGTTCGATCCTGCGTGGGGGCAAACCAAAGTTATTTTTTGTACTTGTTCGTTCTTATAAATATGGAAACAGAACTTTTCAGACTTTCATGCAATTAATAGCTGTTCGATAAAAAATGATGAGGCAACATCTTTTTGTTACTGAAGTCACTTTGAATTCTATAAGACAAACGCAATTTTTGTTGTCAAAATGTCTCTCATCAGAACAATATTAGCCATACAACAATCCCAAAATAGGAATCTCTGATCGGCACCAAACGGTTTGTTATCGAACGGTTCGCTACTGAACATGTTCGCTGCCGATCAGCGAGCCCTAGCTTGGGATGGTTGCATGCCTGATCTGGATGGACTAAAGGCAAACTGAATGAAATTGAAGCTTTTTAAGGAACTAACCACTGAGAAAATAGACTAAAGTACAATGTGAGCGAATGTGTCTTCTACTGAATCGCTACCAAAGGTTTAAAAAAACATGAGAACGAAGAAACACATGAAAGAAATCTTTGTAAAACAAAAAAAATGGTGAAGATTACACCAAACGGAGGAGCAGCCTTGATTGCGCCGTAGCCGTACGTAGTCATGTAAAGAAAAGTTTGAATCAGAGCAGCAAATTTATGTTTACTTTATTCCAGGAAGTTGAAAGTACCTTTAGTTTCCATTATATCTGATTTACTCTCTAATTAATTACTTACGTGGCCTCTGTATAGCAGATTGATTTACTTTGTTTTCATGCAAAAATGGTTTTTCTCACTGTGCAGAAAAAAGTAGACAGACAGTTGCAGCTCTAATTTGAATGTATCTTTATAAGGTTTATGGT